GGGACAACAACATGTAAGGAAGCCCAAGGCAAAGCCGGGCTTCCGCGCTAGTGAACAATAAAGTAAGGAACGTCTCAAGTGTAAGCTTGGGCTTATTTTAAAACTCATTTTCGTCGTTTTTTTCATGCCAGTAATACAGCTGAAAAGCCGTTAAGAGAAACCCCAAATCACTCGTTTTTAGGAGATACATTGCGAGTCTGCAAAAATTTAAGACAGGGAGGGATTTATAACCGTTATTTGCTTTCCCAGATAAGACAGAAAATGCCTTAAAAATACCATAATTTGACGGAGTTTGGCCTGGCAGATGGTCGCTTGTTCGTGAACTTTGTCATCCACGCGAAACCCTTTTGCTCACAAAAGTTAGCGGTTGAGTGTACGTCCATTTATGATTGAATAAATACCCGACTTACAGCAACAGAGAATGACAGGTGGCGAAGCAGTGGTGAAACACGGTAAAATGAAGCGCTTATGAATCCGCCTGTTTGGCCATCTGCGCTAGGTATGAGCTTATGCTTTTCCTTCCGTTCGCAACTGGTAGTCAGGCTTATGACTGGCTGGATGAAGACAGAATAAGACCGAAACAGACCCTATCAATCTATTCAGTTTTTCGATCATCCCTCTTCTCTGCAATTAGAGCTTGACCGACTTCGGCCGGGTAGTTGGTAGCCTGTTTGTGACCTCCGCCACCTATACGAAGTTTGATTGCTTCGGGGAACCAGTAGCTTGTTATGTGCGCATTTTTGCTCCAATAAATACCTGATATGCAGCGACGGAGGCTGACGGGTGGCGAGACTCTGATGAAGTTAATTTTGGCGAATTATTTATGAGCCGCTCTGTTAGACCCTGTCTGTAGACAGCCTGCGCTGTGTTCGAGTGTATGCTTATTTTTATAGTCACAGCTACTCTACGTGAATGAACGTTTGATTTTGTTTTTACCTCTTTGGTGCTTGGCTATTATCCCCACACAGAGTTCTGATCGTTGCGCGAACGTGTGGGACATGCGGAGCGGCCAGTGCGTTCAAGTTTTTCAAGGCCACGACTCAGACGTCAATGCTGTTCGTTTTTTCCCCAGTGGTGACGCGTTCGCCACCGCCTCAGATGATGCGACGATTCGCCTTTTCGATCTCCGCACAGATCGAGAGTTGTGTGTATATAAAAAGGACAGTGTTATTTTCGGGTGCAATGCTGTGGACTTCTCCCTCAGTGGTTAGTCAACTACTTGCCTATTTAATTAGCCGCCCCACCCGTTTCCCTTTCCTACGCATTTTTGCTCCTTGACTGGCGCCGGAAGGTCTGGTGAGCTTACAAACTATTTCCTGTTAGCGAGAATGAGCTGTAGATAGGTGCAGCTTTAAAAACGTTATTTTACTTTTGTACAGTAAAGAAGTACTTGTATTGTTCAACACTATTTTTGAATTTTACAGGCCGGCTAATATTTGGTGGTTACAATGACCACGTTTTGAATGTTTGGGACGTCCTGAAGGGTAAACGGGTGTCCATTCTCTACGGACATGAAAACCGTGTTTCCTGCTTGAGAACAAGCCCTGACGGCAACGCTATATGTACGGGCAGTTGGGACACAACACTGCGGGTATGTAGACTGTTTGAAATTTTCTAAGATATCAGTTTGCTTCCATACATGCGTGTGCTTGCTGACCTTGACTTTGATTTACTGCACTGGATGTCTCCGTTGCCGAGGTTCTCGCCTCCTCACTTGGATAGTGCCTCTGCCACTAGATATAGTGGTGAAACCTTAAGCAAATGCTTTCGAAAATGGACAAAAGGGTGATTATACCGGTAGACTGCCTCTCAGTTGAGACGAAGTTGGTATACTTTCCTCGAAGGGTAGTCCTCAGCCAGTGGTGGTCAAATACCTCCAGTCTTCACTCATCTTCAACGGACAAAACCCAGCATTCATATTCATATAGGAGGACTGACCGGATAGATGCGTGGTACACACGAATCTTCCTGGCGATGGAGATGTCGTGTCGGATCTATAGGCGCTTTCGAAGGATTGAGAAAACCCAGCGAGCAAAATCGATTCGCGAGACAATATCATCGCCATTCGGTAGCTGACTCGATCTGAGATATTCAGCACCGTCTACTTTGTCTAGTTAACGACCATTAACCCCCCAGAGGTACCGTCTCCTGCTCAGAAATGCAGCTCGAGAATAATTTTGTCCTACC